CTAACAAACTCACTCGGTCCCAAACTGAGTTCTGTGAAAAATGTGCCCAACACCATGAGCGTAAAATGATCCGCGTTTTGTAGTGTGCGCTAGGCTGATTACCATCATGCACCGGGATCACGATATCATCCAGTGCTGATGATGTTCACAAATCTTAAACCGCGTACATCTTTTCACATTGATCAGCAACAACATGATCGAATGACAGGACAAAATTAGCACTTATTTGAGTCAAACGGGACCGATTGCATGTGTCAACCATGGTCGGACAGAGAGAGAGAGAGCCAAAAATTAAAATGCAACCAAATTACTGTGAGCAGAATTCAGTGAAATNTGTTCAGCCACTAAGCAGATATTACGGTAGATATCAAGGGCAGCCGAGATAATAAGGTCACGTTTTGTTGAAGGGGATAAAGCTTGTGAAAGAAACGAAACTAGGGGAATAGTATAAGGGGGATATGACAAAGAAAAAGCCAAATATAATAAATATTGGATAGAATTTGAGACGGAAACAACCTTTTTACTTCATTCCACCAGTGCAGTGGCTCAGTCAACCAAAAGCATCTCAGGAAACTATTCAACGTATAAATAATCGGTTGAATTCTCCTTTCGGCGATGTTAATTTAAATCATCTGAGGAGAAAAGTGTCTTATGACAAAATGAACCGATCATCAAGAGGATAACTGTGTTGGATCACAAAACTCAGGGCGCAAATTATCCGCGGGGACCCCTCCTACCAAAATGAGTTATCGATTACCGTAAAGCTCTGAATAATAGACTCTATGCCGAAGTTATAAACGTGGGAAGAAGAATGGCGACAAGCTACCGCGTCAAATCTTTTATATGGAATCTGTACTATCCTGGTAAGCTTGAACATTACAGACATCGCAAATTTAACAACCCCGATAAGCATAAGCCACGTCCAATTTGAGTTTAGTCAATCCCATTAAGTATGCATGCTTGCATGTGAACGAGGGCAGGAGGAAAGGGAAATGAAAAATCGGCTGCGCATGATCCAAAGATATTCAATCGAAAGGGGAAAATCCAAAACGACTAACGATTAACATGAAACGGAACTGAACGTTCGTGTCTGGTCTTACTCGTGTGTGAATCGGGCAGTTGAGTAATACAGCAGCTTGAAAAAGTATACGACCGCTCACTGATCACACACACACACACACACACACACACACACAGACCGTGAATAGCAATGGAATAATTTTTTTTGTTCTTCACCTCTAT